AATGCAATGCTTTTAGCCAACAGGACTTAAAGTAAGTTGCTATTCTGTTGCTGCCAGAATTTTTTTTTTCCATAGTCCCAAATCTCAGCTGAGAGGCTCCAGCCAGCTGGAAAATTTTACACTGACCTTTAGTCTCCTTGCTAATTTGGTGGAATGGTAATGACATTACTACATATTCAAACAAAATTGTCTTAATTGCAAATTAGCCGGAGGAGGCTGAAAATTTTCAAATTAAATCTGATTGGAGATAGAGAGAGGAAAATGGAATTTCCTCACTAACAATCATTTGTGGCACGTGTTAACAAATAGAACGAAATGTCAAGTTTGCCAATTCCTCTGGAAGTATCATTTTCAATTTATGATTACAGTGTCACTTAATGCTGATGTACCCTGGAAAGTGGGTGTCAGGGTAGAAAAAAAGGAAAAAGGTGAGAATGTATGCAAGCTGTTTAACAGTGTGCCCTTCATTACTCCCCTCAGAAAGTCCCCGTTCTTCATTATCAAAAAACTGATATCACCTCTGTCATATTTACCACACATCTTTTGTCATAAATAGCATCCAATTAGCAAAATTTTACACAGGGCAGCTCATAAGATTTCTCCTGTATTATTTAAATGGTATTCATAAAAGGTAAGAAATGGTCCTTCTCCTTTTAGACAGTAATCTATACAGCCAAGAAAGACAACTAATCTTAATTGTTCAGCTTCTTCATAAAGTAACTGCAGAGTTAGGCTAAGTGGAGAATATTCAGCTTTTGTATATAATTTAGTAACACCTGCCTTTTTAAATCCCAAATACACTTCTTAAGATAAACCTTTTTTTAATGGGGAGAAAATGATGTGTACAGCATTGATTGATCTTTCTTTGTGGATTTGTTTTACACATTTAGTCAGTAGAGAGATTTGTTAGGGAAACAAAAATTAACATATGCCAGCTAATTGTTCTTCTTTCTTGGGCAGCAGCCAGAAGCAGCACATTAGCAGTCTAATAATAACGACTGGCACCCTGAAGGCATCCCCAAGTGCATCTGTTCCCAATAAACCACAAACTGTTATTCTGTTCATACTCTAAGCCAGCAGACTGGGCTGGGAATTCTTTGTTACGTACATAAATAAAAGCTGAGATAATGCTACTAAATGCTGCATTTAATACATTTACAAAGCCACTGGTGTAAGCTTGCCTAGGATGTACCAGAGTACCTGTACATACATGGTTTATTGAAAAATGCAGAAATAAATACATATATACATCTATGTATAGATGTATATATATGCATACAGAAGCAATGTTTCTAATGATATTTTAAAATAACACCAGAATGAATGTATATTAATTATCTTATATTTAGACCATAGCATCAGCATAATGTATATGATAAAAATATGAACAGGGAAAGAAAAACTTCCCCATACCTAGAAAAAAAAAAACCCATCAAACCTAAACCTCAGCTGAATGGTTACACATTCACTTTTAGAATTGTAAACCAGAATAAAATGGTACATGCAAAAGCCAGAAAAATGCCAAATTGCAGACCAATGAAATATCTATCTTGATGAATACTCAACAGGATTCCACATTTTATGAATGCATTAAATGTTATCAAAACAAGAGATGTACATCTTTTTCTGTGCACTACTCATGTTTACAATGTTATGGTAACTTATTCTGCATCCTGCAATAATAAGCATACCATGTTTGTAGGCGTGCAATCACAAACTGATAAAATAGAATTTATTATTAACTAAAAGGAAGCATGTAAAAGCCAGGATGAGCACTTAGCTACCTCAGCTCATCTGAATATAGTCAAGGTTGGGTGAAACTCATTATTCAGGACTCGCAGCCTTGATAACTTTGATTTTCATCCATCCATAGCATGGCCAAAAGGTACCATTTAATGAAGTACCATTCAGAGAGTAAATGGGGTCATATAATAGACAGTGCGGTTGCACCTTGTGTTCATGTACTGATAGCTGTTAAGGGTGCAGTGATGAACCAACAGAGCTCATTTCTCCGTGGTAATAAATTCATGCTATTAATATTTATCAAATGTGTGGGCCGTCTCAACTGAGCCACTGCACATGAGACCATAAATCTCTACTATCATATCAATTTTGAAGCTTCTTTTGTACAGTGTATAAATTTTAGGGCTTTTTTTGAGGGGTGTGAGTATTGACCACTCTTCTTTCAAACCAATTTGAGGCCAGTACTGTAGTTTCCTACTCCAGATATCACTAGTTCCAAAGGGAACTTTAAACTGTGGTTTCATTTTAAATCGCTCATCTAAGATTCTGTATTAATTGCCCACCATCAAACGCAATTAGCAATTCTTTCATGTGTGGTTTATGTAATGTAATACTTCAATTACATTATTCATTCAGGTTCTGTTTTGGATTATAGGCTGAAAATTCTTTATTAGTGTAGATGTAACCATGCTGCTGGAGTTTTAAAAAATTTACTGATTGAATAATTAATTGGAAAAGAACAAGCTGCAGATTCCTGATGGATTTATGAGACAATTATTCTGTCTTGTGATTATCTACATTATACTATAGAAGCAATGAGGGAAAAAATTCTTGTGGAAAAGAAAGTCATAAATACTGAATCAAAAAGATTTCCAAAAGTTTGTTTTTTAATAAAAACATAGACATTCTAGAGTTAAAAATGTCATGTCAGATTCAAAAAGATATGTCTCTTTCTTTCTATTAAAAATATGTTTATGGTACCCTATGCTTAAATATAGTACAAAGGAAAAGCTCTAATATCATGACAGAAATACCATAGCAGAGTTTAAATAAATACAGTTTCTATGCAAAAAAGGCAAATTTTGAATAATCTTAATCGACAGGAGATATCAAGACACTAGGAGAAAAATCAGATAATATACTCCGTCTTCTATCTTCTCCCCCACTACAGAACCAAATGTTCTTTTCATACCCAAAGAAATAGAGAGAGAAGCAAGGCTGGCAATCACTAATCATCAGGCTATACAGGAGCCTTATTAAAAAGTATCCCACAAACTTTCATTAAACTAGAGTTACTCAGTTGATTACCCTAAGTTTCTGTGCAAATATTAGCTGGGTGAAATAACAAAGTATATTCTTTTTCCAAGCCTGTGTATCTGACTACATTATCAGGTTGTGCTTAAATCTCATATATTTTTGAGAGAAACTGCAGATTTTATTTTTCATAATCACCCATTTCCACCTGGTGCTGAGCTCTCTAAATTAGCATTATGTACAATATATAGGAAAACACATCAATATGTGATATAACAACCGAAGAAATAGGAAAAAATTGACTACACAAATTCTACACTACTTATGACAAAGTATTAGATAAAAGAAATCTATTTATCTGTATCTTATGATTGATCTAACTTTTCCTCCACACACCATATTCCTTTCTATTTGTGATTGGTCCTGTTACTGCTTTTCAGGTGGCTCAAAGTGGGTTTCCTTTTAATATCTGTAAACCTATCACAAAAAGATATTCTCCCTTGCTTCAGCCTCAAGGCGGTGATTTGTGCACTGATGGGTACACTTTGTTTAGTGTCACCCATGGTGTAGATTGGATAGATTTTGTAAAAGATAGCATTACTTTAAAAGAAACATACAATTTGACAGGCGATTGCATTTTACTTTCATCTTATTGCCATATTTTTCATCACACTCATTGTTTTCTAACTGTCACTAAATTGTTCATTTTCTTAGTCTGTTACATTGGTAGAGCTATTTACTGTTTATAAAGCAATATGCACTTACAGGTTTGGGAGATGGTTTGGGCTCTGAGGGTCGCATGTGCAAGTGGGTCATCATTGCTTGAAGACGTTCGCGTTCTTTAGAAAGCTGTTAAGAAAAAGTGAGATCAGAAGCATTTTAGAAATGACTGATACAGCTATTTTATTGCAGTGATACATCTTATCATTGAGCTTGTCTGGGAGTAATGATTCCTGCATATAAAAGTCTGTGTCAGTAGGAACTTATCTGGGAGGAAATGCAACTTTAGCTATGGAGGGGGGAAAAAACTTTTATAGCTTTCTTTATGTTAAAAGGTCAGAGAAAACAAATAACACTTCATCTTTTTGTCAATAAGAGAATTGAGGTCACAGTTGCCTCGACAGTAACAAGTTACCAAAACCGTAAATTAGAAGCCCATGGTGTCTCTTTAAAGTCCTGTGGACACTGTTAGCAATGGACTAGTGCCAGCAGCTGTGAAGGGGTGAAGGGTTCTCAAAGCGAAGTGCCTGCCAGGATTGTCTACACACTTCATGCATTCCCACTGAGGTCCAGTTAGTGCCCCCTGCAATCTGCCATCATCAATCTAATTCAATAGAGTGACAGAGACCAGGCAGTGTGAAATGCTGAACTCTGCCACGGAGTCGGCATCTACACTTGCACTGGGGTCTCATTACAACTGACGGACCTTACTCTTCCATCAGTCAGACACAGTAGAAAAAGAGAGAGAAAGAGAGAGAGAGAGAGAGAGAGAGAGAGAGAGAGAGCATAATTGGTCACAATGCAGACGATATCATCTTATGTTTTAGTGTACTTTGTAGAAAAGGTAAACAAGTTTACCAAAAGCTTTTTATACTACAATAGTGATGATGCTTTTTATGTGTGCTCAGTTATTTTTTAAAAATTCAAAATATTTTTAGTTCTTTTCTGTAACAAAGCATGATGAATTTGAAATAATTTAAGACACAGTAAGGTGTGAAGTAGACCAAATACTATGCTTAATTAAATGAAACATAGTATTAGTTTGAAAAAAATAATTTTTAAGATGAAATGTTAGAAGAAGCCTCAAAAAGTGAGTAAAACACAACAAGAGTGAGTCTTTGGGTGATTTCATTGCTTTCTGATCAGTTTTATAAGTTCTGGTCATTTTTGGGCAAGTTCTGTTCCAACATTAACAAAATTTTTAAAAACTTAAAACAGCAATATGTATACATATGCAATATGTATACAACAAGCAAATTACTATCTATAACATATATTATTTTCTATTACCCTAGTTAACGACAAATATTAAGAATTCCTGTAAGTTTTTAAATTATGAATATACTAGAAGCAGAAATCACATTATTTTTCAGAATGAGGATATTGGAAGCATGCTATTGTAAAGAATGGCCTTTTGCTAAAATAGAATCCTGTGGGGAAAAAAAATCAAGATTAGCTCATGTGAAAACTATCTATGATAAAATCATATCTTATTGGGGATTTGGTCTGACCTAAAATAAGAAAAGTGTTGATGTGACAGTTTGGGTATATCCAAAGGTAGATAATATGGTCTAAAGGTTATATAGGTCTGTGTGATAAGCACATCAAAGTATAGCAATCTACTCCCAGTTATCAATCATTGCCACTGTTAAAAACAACTAAAATTCCATATATCTCAATTAGTCTAGTGTTACTGAGATCAGTTCAGTAACTAGTTTAGAACAGCAGAAATCTGAAATAGGAGTCCATCAAGTGAGTGTTTGACAAACCTGTATTTCTAACTGTTGTACCACCTGCATTTGCACTCGACACTGGGCAGTGCTTCGGTCATCCAATGCGTGCTCATTGTTAAGGTGCCTATGCAAACACAAGACACAAAGTAGAATGTTAAGTGATGCCTGTCTCGGTGGCACATGCTCCACTCAAACAGCATCGCACTGAGCCCGTCAAGTCCCCTGCAGGGGGAAAATGGGATGCCTTGAAACTGTATAGGAAAAAGCTACATATGCTTCAACATTTAATGAAAATTATTTATGTAACATAAAAAGATTCTATACTCTTCAAAGGGATTAAAATGCCATTGTTACTAAGCTTATCTATTATTACAAAAAATATTTTCTCAAACCACTTACAGAATGATAGTAGAAATCACTAAATGTATTTCATATACTTATGCAATTTTTTATAGAAAAAAGACAGCATATACATATGAAGCAAAAGTAATTCTGAAGGGAACAAAGGCAATTCTCTATTCCATTTCTGTTAGAGCAGTTTGTTTTTCCTATGGTGTTTTTTGAGCAAGCAATATCTCATTTCCCATGGATGTGGTATGAATAGCATAGAAGGTAAACCATCATCCCATGGAAACATGAATACTCATGATAAATGATAATTTTCTGTTACTAAAGAATAAAATATATTGGATATTCTGATAATCAGAAGCATAGATTAATATTTAATGTCTAGAGTTTTAACTGGAAGACATCTACCTAACTTATACTCTAATATTGACTATACATTAGTTTATTATTATTATTATTGTTATACAATGGATGAATAGATGGTATGTTAATAAATGATATATTAATACATCAAAAGTAGTTGGTAGAGCAGCATTTCCAATGAGCCTGAAAATGTTCAATAATATATACTTTACGATTTGTAATATATAATTCATTTGCTAACTCCCAAATTAAGAAAGTAATCTTCAAGTAATTTTAATATCTTTTGGTGTCTCTTTTTCACCAATGGGCATACTAAGAAAGCAATTTAAGAGATGTTCTCATCAATGTACAAAAATGAAAAGGTGTATTGAGCAAAATACTCACTAAATTAGGAATTCATATACTAACCCATGTGGGCTCAAGTGTCATTTAGAATAAGAGTCTAAAGCTTTTCTTGTAGTCCTGAATACACCGAATTAAAAAATATGCTTGCACATCCATTCCAATTATTTGTCTGTACTTCCTGAAGTTAATGATGAAGTGGAAAAAAAAGATGTAGATAGGCACATATGCAATATGTGTGAAGAAGAATTAAAATGTTTTTGCTTAGGATTAGCTAATAAACAGGTAGATTTACTCATTAGTAGATCTAAGTTCAGCAATCAGAAACCTTTGTTCCTTTCTGCCCCATTCCTACATAAATTAGACTAGCTTGCTTTAATATCTCTTCACTGTTTATAACAATAAAACTTCCATGTATCTCATATAATTCAGAGTTTTGGTTGGTGAGAAACTGTGAACTAAAGTAGTGAGCTGAGTTGGCGCAAGCTGGAGTTCTGTGGCTACAGTGCAGGAGAGGCACTTACAGTCTACCTGTCCTACCCTAAGCTCAGCGTTAGCTGGTTCTTCCATGAATTTAATTATGATGAGGACTAAATTTCACTCACACCCTCTGGAAGAAAGCATGGAATGTCAGAGTAAACCAGAGGTTAGGTAAGATATAAAGTGTAGCTAATTCTTAACTAACAAGGCAACATGTAAGAATTATTCTTTCGGTTTTTTTCCCAAGTTTTAATGAACAATGAGGTAATTTTCTATTAGGATAATACAAGAATTGATTGTATTTTTAGGTTTCATATTGCTCTATTTTTGTGAGACCTTTTTCACCATGAACATTTGGGGAACACACATATAATTTATCCCACAATCAGTCAAAAAGATGCATATTTTAAAAACTGCTTCAGCTCTACACAAAGATTAGGGTATAAATAGAGCAAGGAAGATAACTAGAAGATATAGCTTCACAGAAATGGTATATTCAGTACAATATGTTTATTTTTGCATGAAGTCACTTTTTAAAAAGGTTTTTTATACATGTTTACTTCTTAGTGATAATCATTACCTTATATTTAAAGGACTAAAAGAAGTACAAAATGTTTGCATTATATACTTGGGTCTTAGAGACCTATTCAATTTATCTATGCAGCTTTTATTAGAATAGAGACTGTAGGCTACAATAATAGTCAATGAGGTTTTGTCTTGATTGAATTTTTCAGTGGAACACAAAAGAACCTTGCCATTAAAATAGTCCTTTATTCTCCTGTATGAAGGCGAAAGGTTTTTAAAGTGTTGTGATGTTCAGTAATGAGCCTCTATCTAAATTATCATTGGTGACAAACTCACAAAGCACTTTTCGAGGACACATAGTTATGAAATGCCAGAGCTGCCACTTTCTTTCCTGTAATTATAGGCTAGCTTGCAGCCCTTCAATGATCATTTATAGAACAGCCTCCAGTGGATTACTGAGAACTTGAAAAACACATACCTACCTCTGCCACATCTCCCTTCTCCTTTCCTCGCTATTGTTTACCAGTGATATGTAAAATAATAGTGCCTATTCATTCCCCCTACTTAATTATGCCAATCAAAGTACAGAAATAGTGTCGAATATAAATACAATGCAATAAGACTAAATAAATAAGGTAAGTATTAACATTAAATTATGAATTTACGTTTTTATAACTATTTTGTGCCCAAATTATTCTCTTTTAGGTTTTTATAACTATCTCAGGTACTACATATTGCTGTTCAAAAATTCTCTATGATTTATAAATCAAGAATGAGGTAATACTGAAAAATGAGAGGATTGGTGGATTTTCTCAGTCAGTGCCTAATTGCTGTTTCAAAATGCATATGCAAACGGACATTTCATTAATCATTTAATCATGTCCCTTGCAGGAAGTTGGAACTAATGTTGCAAATACCCTTTTCATATGAATGCCCCATAATACTATCTTACGCATTTGATATATTGCCTATGTCATAAATTATGGCTGCTTCAAAAGGACCAAGTGGGGTTGTTATCCCTGAAGATGCTTGTTACAAAACCTTTATTAAGTTTCTTCTTTTACTTATTGCTAGTTCTATTTCACAGCTTTATAGTAGACAACAATAATACTCTTTCTTATGGCAAAGGTCTGTAAATTACCCATGCAATCACTAACACCATTTCACAGGCCTGTTCTACTTCTACTGGTCTGCTAACAAGGCGATTACACACAAATTACTGAATGCCTATGAAATATTTAAATGCATTCTACTCTACTATGCATTAATAAGAGCAAAGCAAGCTCTGGAATTCTGGTTAGCTCCAGTCCCTAATGTCCCCTAATGAGCCTCTTACCGAGACTGCAGTTCAAACAGAGAGGTGAAGAAAAATGCAAAGGGGGCCTTCAGAAAGGCAGCACTGAACAAACATCGTGTGAGCCAGTTCTAATTTATGGGTCACTTTATAGGTATATTGATTTTTGTTTTCAAAATGGAATAAATGATGTGGTCGACTGACGTTCTTTCAAAACTGCATGGAATCTGTGTGCTAGGCAGGTAGTGTGAACTGGAAAAAAATGTAAATAGGCAGTCAAAGTCTTTCTAAAAACAATTAAGTAAGCATTTCAGGAAGACAAAAAGTAGGAAAGTATCTTTCCAATTTATTTAATGCACAATTCTCTTTAATGAAGCTTTTATGGTTATGAATGCATGCGGTAACTTCAATTATATACACTGCAGATTAGCAATTCAATTTTAACCTCTAGATGTTTCAAATTCATTTAAAGTTACAGCATTTTATAAGCTAAAAAGGGATCGGATTTAAATCCAAGTATGTCAGAGACTGTTTTAACAAAATGTTTCACTTGCATATCACTGGTGTTTGATTTATTTTGCATCAAGCTTTTTATGTTTAAACACTGACAGGAGTTTAAATACAAAATGTTAGCTGTCACTATTCATTTAGCTGATTATGTGAGATGCCTTAGTTTTGAGAGATGGGGGCACTGTCACCAAAAGAAACAACATTCTGACAGGTTCAAAGAATGCCTTCTTGAGGTCATAATTTTGTAGCCATGCTGCCTAGTCAAAGACAAAGAAATAGACAATACACACTAAGTAAGAGCATAATTTTTTAGAGTAGTCAGAGGTAAGAAAAAAAGAAAACACATTTACACTAAATAAAGTATGGTTTCCACTGCTTTTTGTATTGCTCTTTGTATCATATCAAGCCTTAAAAATTTAATTTTTGAACTTTTATGGCCATAGACTAATTAATCTTTAATATATTGATATTTATATGAATATTTTTTGTAATAACTATTCTGCCTTTTTTAAAGGAAAGTGTTTCCATCTTTGTATCTAAGAGCATGTTTTGTTTGCCCGCATCTGTGGGTTCAAGAACACTTGTCTGCTAACTAGAATGCTACACTGTAAACCTTTTGGCTTAAGTTCTGAAAGTCAATCCATCTAAATTCGAGCTGACTGAGGTCCAATGGAATGATAATTAATTTTGCAGTCAAGCTACACTAAAGTTTTGTCAGTTGTTATTACACTTTGACATTTATAAGACAGTAATGAAGTAGTAGTATTAAATGCTTTCGGTGATCTAGTGAGATCCTCAATTACTGGTCAGAAAAATGGTTAGCTTCTGTCAATGCCTACTTTATAGCAAAGTTCAAAATTTTTCTTAAGTGTTTTTTAGTTTGGATTTCCTTTTCTATCTTGTGTTCTTTTGCTTTCATGCTACTGTTACAAAAAATTACTTTCTGTCTTAGTTTTAATTTTTTTATTTATTAGGAAAGAATATCACAATTGACAAAGAGCATAGATGTAAATAATAATATAATGCCCAAGGATAAGAATATATAATGCCTGAGAACATAAATATATGCTAGAATATATATTAATATATATAACTACAACTTGTATCATGCATAAGCAATGATGTATGCATTCTTATTTGATGCTAGACAAGACAGAGTCTATAGTTTGTTAGGTGATGTAATTTGAGAAAGGGAACTTGAGACTCTTACAGTAGTCTCTACTCTCTTTTGTTATTTAACATATGGAAGCTAAATAGAGATAATGGATTTTTTCATTTTATTTCAATCCACTGGATAAGTTATCTAATGCCAAATTAAAGCTGAAGCTATAAAATTTATTGCTAGTATATTTTAGAAATAAAAATGCTATAGTAATATGCTCTTAAAATGTTTATAATAAACTCTGGATATAAAACTTTGTGAGAATGGATAAACAGAAAAACTGAGAACTAAAACTCTTTCCTAACTTTTTTATCTTGTTTTCTTTTTCTCCCCAATTCTTAGTTTTTTTCCTTTATTATAAAAGTCTTCTCCTGGGAAAATGTGAGTGGATGGTAACTTCTTCATTTCACTTCCCACATGAATGCTGAGTAAACAGTTTTCATCAATAAATGAAGTTAATTCTTTTATAAAATATATCATTTTATTACTTTTCAAATTTACTATGCATCTTTAAGAAAAAGGCAATACCAGTATTGAAAAAGATATCTAATTAATATTTCATTTCAGTACAATATGCTGACATTGGCTCTATTAACAGACTTTATCACAGATCTTTGAATGAGAGAATTTAAAGCATATATATCATAACAAAAATAGACGAAAGGAAGACCTTAAAATCTACTGTCATTAGTTCTGTCATCCCTATAAAGTTAATGGGTTGGAAAAATGGTCACTCTCTGAAACCAAAGTTGATATTTAATTGAAAGGAAATGCTTTTTTAATTGTAATTTCTTCAGTTAAAAAGAACCACTGGCATGAATATGAAAAAGGACCATGGAGGATAAAATGAGAGTTCATATTCATCTGCTTTTTAGTAATAAAAAAATAAATATTTGAGGTGAATAAAAATGCCCCATTCCATGTCATAAAGGAAATCAAGTGAAAGTAAGGTATGTCTTTAAAAATTTTTTTTTACAGAAGGAACAATCTGAAGCAAGAAAATGCATAGAATGTGGGTACTTTTTGACTTAAATTATCATTCTTATGAAATAGTAGCAGTATTCATCTAAATAACCTCAATGACAAAATAATATATTGATAAGAATTAACATGTTCAAATAAAGAAAGATGAAATTACTTGCTAACATAATTTATACCTCCATATTCCAGCTTTGGTTTAACATATTTTTAAAGAGAGGAACACTTCAGTGAAGTTCCTAACATTTATTTTGTTAATACTCTCTTTGCCCAGAATAGTACAGTGATTTTCACACCCAACAAAATGGCAGCTCCCAACTGTTTTGGTATAACGCAAGTGCAAATTTTCATTTCAGTTCATTAACAAAGAGCCATTTGTGGTATATGAAGCAAATTTTCTCCTAATTGGTCAGAAACGATGAAAGGTTAAAAAATCTTTGTGGAAGTCTTACTGTAACAGCTATAAAGTTATTATGATGCCAAGTACTTGTGCCTTGTTGTTAAGGTGCTTTTGCTCTATACTCTGTAGTCAGTCTACCATTTGTAAACACATCTTTTTGATGTTTCTGCCAACATCTTGGCAACAAACCAGTGCAGTTTCAAATGAGCTAATTAACTTAATTGTTGATGAAGCATGAAACAGTTCATTCACCCTGTTAGCTGCACCATGACAACATAAGACTCTCAGCCTGTGAAGTTACTCATCTCCACAGCCTATCTGTAGTTCTCTGTTTGTATCTCTCATATACCAGAAGTGAGCAGGGAAGATGATTCATAGAACACGAATATTCTCATTTGAAGAAGAACCCCTTAAGGATTTTAAAAAATAAACTATCATTGTATGAAGAAATTGAGAATACACAAGGTTTAGATTTTAAGCAAAAGAAGCTATGTAATCTATTACACAAACATTCAGCCATGTATGTTACTTTGTGTTTTCCTAAAGGGTAATAAGTAAAATGTGAACGAAATGTAGTTATTTCTTTAAACTTTAGGCACCATCTTTTATTCTCGTTATTAAAGATCATCACTTAAGGTTGGGAATATAAAATCTGAAATTTAAAAATAAACCTGTATAATATGTCTGTTTATTTAATCATAGAGAGATTTATGACCACTCACATATTATCTGAATTTTTTTTATCAAAAAACTCAATATTTAAGAGAATCCTATTTTATAAACATGTCTATAGTGATTAATATTACTATTATAGTTGGCTAATATTTTTCATTCACTCAAAAAACTTACTGAATAATTTTTAAAGTATTTCACAAAAAGATAAATAAGACATGTTAACCTTCCTAGCCTGACTTTGCTAATTCACTTGTTGGAACACACTGAAAATTTAACACATTTTATGATGGATCTTTCCATTACTTCTTCATTGTTTGTTTATTTACAACATACCTCAACCCACAAACAACCCACCCCCCCCCAAAAAAAGTTAAAACCTACTTTAAAAACTGTCCAAAATCTTCACAAATGCTTTCACAGCCTGGCCATTTGCAAACTCCATGGCCATAGAGAGTGTGAGAGGCCCCCGTCTCCTCATGTGACGAGCTGTAGCACAAGAACACGACGTCAGATTCCTCTCAAAAAGCCATAATCGTTGCAGGCTGCTAGCGCCTGTCAGGTTACGATCAGTGACAAACAGGTCAAAACAGGTCAATTCAGCTCAGAGCAGTCAGAAAAATTTAATCGTTCTATTGAATAGTTCAACTGCCAAGGCTAGATGATGTTCCAATTAGAGGAGAAATAGAGCCAAAGATGACTGTTAATAAAGGATGAAAAACTAGGAAGACTGTATAATATCATATGCTAATCCTGCCATATGACCTTAATGTAACATTTTACCTCTAAATAAAAAATATATATTCTTATATGCTCCAGTAGGAAAATGTATTTTTAAGAAAGTAATAGGAAAGTCAACATATGAGTTTTGAAATGTTCTTTTTACAAAAAGAATAAATCCCTAGTATCGTTTAAATTGTTTAATATTTGCATGTAACCCATATATATTTCTATTATCTATAGTTGGTTTAAAAAATTCTACTTTGGAACAGTATTCATGAGCTACATCCTTACATAGTTATTGCAGACTTTTGATAAGTGAGTATAATATCGAGAGATCTTAGAGAAACTAACTTCTGAAATGTATAATCATCAAATTAATCTCAATTAAAACAACAGCATGAATGCATTCAGAAGCATTCCATTTTATAAAAAAAAGTGAACATGAAAATTTTTCCAATTACTCAAATGAGGGCCAGGAACATCAACAAATTCTATTTTAAACTATGCTGTAATTAAATATATGTTTCTTTGAAAAAATTGCTTGTGACAAAGAATTTGTTACAGTAAGGCAGATATATTTGTATTACATAGCATCACAACCAATCATCATACTTACATAGGAAATATAGAGCTATATACAAGCCTAAGCCACTGTGTTACAGAATTCTTCACTTTATAGTCATCGTTTAAAAACAGACATTTTATTTTGAGCAGCATTTTAGCTTATGTGATTCATGTAAATTATTTGAAAGGACTTAATTAGATAGTGATATGCATAAATAAATAGAACTAAATTGATAGAAGTACCTGAAATTTTCTTTTTACAAAGACAGTTTTTAAAGAACTAAAATAAACCAGTAAATTGAAAAATTATTTAACAATGTTTTTAATGTTATTAACAAGTCATTTTTCTGTATGAATTTTTGGAAACATTTATTCATAAATTACCAATATATATTTAGCAAGATATAAAAATGCATTTATAAATTCCATCATGCCACAATAAAGAGGAGAAACCAAATCTTCTATCTTCTGGTTATTATGCCTGAGCACATATAATTACATACATCAACTTTCTAATTTCCAAGACCTTGTTTGAAGCATTTCCTAAAGAAGAAAACTATGTGTGCATCTTTAATTACTTGAAAGTTAGAAACTTGTTTTGGGCTTGGAAAATGGTACAATGCTCTCAGAGTAATCAGGTTAATCACAATGTCTTAGTCACAAGAATATATTGACACAATCATTTTACATGCACTTATGAAAAAAATAAATTTCTTCTAGCAAGTCCCCTTATTAAATTTATTAAACTTGTTTTTCATTCTTTTTCATTGTTGTTTAGGTGGGGGAGAGGGAGGGTAAAAGAAAATGAATATGGCTGATACACTTACAAGAATTAATATTTATATCACCATAAGAAAGGGAATAAGGTAGAAAGGAGAAAAATGGAGGGGATAAAAACCAATTTGGGATATAATACCTATATACATGGAAATGTCATAATGAAGCTCCCTGTATAGCTATCATAAACAAAAATAGATTTTTTCAAAAAATGGAGGACAGGAAGGTAAAACAGGTCCTGACTGGAGAGCTGGTACCAGTAGGGGAGAGGGGAGGATGTAAGGAAAGGGTGAAGAGAGTGTATGTAGTGGAAATACTATGTACACATGTATGTAAATGGAAAATGAAACTGTTGAAATTATTCTAAGATGGAGGGAGGAGAATGAGGAAGAGGGTGAATTTAACTATGATATATTGTAAGCACTTTTGTAAATGTTGCAATGTATCCCCAGTACAAAAATAATATGGTAACAAAAATGAAATAAAATAAAAAACATTATACTGCAGAAAAACTATTTGCTGGCATTTGAAGTCCTTTCTTCACAATGAAAAAGAATGTATGATATAATCTAATGATTTCTATTTAATTTCTTGTTCTGTACATTTTGTCCCTATTAAGTGTAGATTTCATCAATGATGAAAATAAAATCTGGTGATAGATAGAAAATCCAGTTAATGAGATGTACCTGTCTCTCCTTGCGTTCAGGACTGAAGACTGTCCATTCACTATGGAATGATGAGTTATTGGTGGTGATGCTTTGGAAGTGGTGGAGGAGGTAGTCGAGGAGGAGTTGTTGGTAGTGAGGTCTAGCCCTCCATGTTTAATGCCATTGTCTTCCATACTGTGAACTCCAGTCACTTCTTTCCATAACTGCTGAATCTCAGCAGGGCTTAAACCAGCTGCAAAATGAAAGAAAGCTCCATTAATATAACAGTAACTTTTATATAATGAGCTTGGGGTTATCTATGACATAATCCATTAATCCAAGTGTTATCACCAGCATTAATTAACATACAATAAAAACCACTTTTATACTGTTAGCACTATAGATTTTTAGTTATTTGTTAAAGACTACCAACTTGAAAATAGTGCTGAGAATAACAGTGGTGGGGAAAGAATATAAAGGTTAATAGAAAAAAATTTCTTGCAAGTTCAGGCATTGTAGTGTAGATCTGTAACTCCAGCTACTCAGGAGGTGGAGATAAGGAGGGTCATGATTCAGAAGCAGGTTGAGAAAAATAGTTATTGGCATCCTCACCTCAAAAACAAGCTAGGTATGATGGCACAGTCCTGTCATCCCAGCTACCCAGGAGATGTAGTTAGAGTATCATGGACCTAGACTAGCCCTGGGCAAAAAAATGAGACCCTATCCAAAAAAAAAAAACAACAAAAAAACAAAAAAGGGGGTTGGGGCATGGCTCAAGTGGTAGAGGGCCTACTTAGCAATTGCAAGGTCCTAAGCTTAAATCTCAGTACTGCCAATTAAAATAGAAAATACAAATAGAAATACAAATAGAAAAAAAGCCTGCAAGTTCTATTCCAAGATAAAACTATGCACCCTTTTAAAGAGTATCTTCACTTGTTACTGGTATTATCAGTGAGGAACTGGAAGAGAACTAGATTTTAGAAACAGCATATTGTCAAAACAAATGGAAAGAAAAAGCAAGCAAAAAAGAAAAGCAAAAATGCAAGGGAAAAATACTAATCATTCAACACAAAAGAAAAAGAGATTTGATAATCATCGGTTATTTTGTACTTTCTCAGAGAGGCCAACTAAGCAGCTGTCTTTCATTTGGGATTCTTGAACGAAACAATGTCTTCACCTACACAAATTCTTTAAGTAGATACTACCTCAACCTCTTCTTCACTCATGACTAACCAACAGAAAACTCAACCACTTTAAACAATCTCCTGGTTCAGATTATGCAAATTTACCTGATTGTACACAATTATAAACAATGAAAACAGAAAAGCTAGGCAAAATCCTTTGGTTTTTAACTATAATTTTGAGATGTTATTGAAACTATTGTTTATAGATATGACTTATGAAATAGTACTCATATGTACTGAATACTGTGCCTTCACATCTTCTTTGAACACTGTGTGCTTTTTAATCCTTACTGCAACCTAATGGAGTTGTCCTTTTCATTTTAGCCAAATTATAGCTAAGACAACAAAAAGAAAAAGAGGCTCAAAAATGTGTCTGAGGTCACAAAGCTTATACAAAGTAAATGTGCAATTTATATCCAGACAGTCTAATTTGAATGCCCTTGCTCTTAAAACACTATAGTAAGAAAACATCAAAGGGACTAAATAGGTTCAGGTGTGGTGGTACACATATGCAATGTCAGATACTCAGGAGGCAGGGACCTGGAGGATCACAATTCAATGCCAGCCAGGGCAAAAAGTTAGTGAGGCCCCATTTCCAAAAACAAGCTGGGCATTGTGGTACATCCCTGAAATCCCAGCTATCCAGAAGGCATAGGGAGGAGAACCTAGGTCTGAGGCTGACCCTGGGCAAAAATACAAGACCCTATCCTCAAAATAACTAAAGCAAAAGGGGATTGGAGTGTGATTCAAGGTAAAGTACCTGCCAAGGAAGAACAAGACTCTGAGTTCACCCTCCTCCAATGACTTAATAAAGATCTGGTAGGGGGAAATAGACTTGTAATTATAATTACCACAATTTATTGACCATTTACTATATTCTGGAACTTTGTTAAGTGCTTTTGACTGGAGGCCAGCAATCATATTTTATAAAGAACACAAGTAGCTCCAAAGGATTAAAATAATGTCTGCAGATCACTGATGTCTCAACCAGTGTGCAAGATTCAAATCCAAGGCCCCCACGGTCCCCAATCTGTGCTCTCTTATAGAAAGATAGAAGTGCTACTCCAACTATCCACATCCC